TCCCTGGACTGAAAACAAAACAGATACTTCCACCAGTTTTATATTCAGCATCGGTTCAGTGATTAACAATATAATAATGCTCGCGTAAGCCCAACTATAAGCAACAATTAATGGTTGCCTAAGAAAAAAATCCTGAAGAAGCTTGAAGAGAAGAGTAGTAAGAAAGAGACAAGGAATATGTAAGAGTTGGTGAAGCGAGGAAGACGAGGAGAGGCCAGGCGCCATCGGAGAATCTAAAATTTGTGGAAAAGTCCATTTAATCAATTTTCAGCCCATCATGAAAGTTCACGAATCTAGTCCAATTTCCTCCTCTGGATATTTTAAAAATGATTTTTCTTGGGAAGCAATTATTCTATGCAACTTTAACAAACTTTTTATTTTTATTTTGAAATAAATTATTTTTTATATTTCGAAATTTTAAATAAATAATTATTATGTATATTATTGTACTAATTTTATTTTTCTATTTAAAAATTTAAGTGATTAATATTTATAGTTTTATTTTTTATATAATATATTTAAGTATAATTAATATTGATATATTGTTTATATTTATATTTTAAAAGAATAAAAAAAAATGATATGTGACTATTTTTAATATTACATATTAATAAAAAAATATCTGATTAGAATTTAACTTTTTTTATTTAAGTAAAAAAAAAAACTATCTATAAAAATAATTAGATAGAATAATTTCCATCCTATCACTTGATAGCTAGATAAGAAAATTCAAATAAATACCAATACTTATTATGGGTAGAAGAATAGATATCGAAATAAATAATTCTTGTGGTTCAGGATTAAAAAAATAAAAATTTTGAATATTAATTAATTTATAGTCATAAAATATTTAGTGTGATATAAATAATAATAAATAGGAATTAATATAATACATATCAAGTATTATTATTTTAAGAATTTGAGTAAAAATATTAGAAAATTTGGATATTTACATATAACTACTCAAATATTTTGGCATAGGGATTAATATGGGTTGATGCCGGGTGATCATTATGTGATTCAAAGAAAAAAAAACACTATTAAAAGTAAGTTCATTTTACTTTATGTCATCATTTAATATAAATATAAAGTATTAAGTTAATTGTTTTAATTGAGAAATTAGATATAAATGTGGGTTATGACTATACTCCCTAAGTTTAAAAACTTGTATAGTAACTTTGTGAGGGAAGAATTAATATTTCCTTGTCTTGTTAAATAGTTATATATTAATATTAATACAATATTACTTTTATGTTAACAATTCAATTAAAAATTTAATAAAATAATTTTTTATTAAACTATTAATATAAATATACTACTATCAATCCTTAAAAAAAATCAAACGGATGATAGTAAATCATAATGCTGATATTGAAACGGCTCGTAAACTTGAAAAGAAGTAAATTATAAATTAAGTGCGTAAGCGAAATAATAGCGTTAGGGTTTATATTTTTTTTACAATAATTCAGAATATCCAATAAGGTTACGAAAATAACCATTCTAAAAAAACAACTAATAATCAAAGAAATAAATGAAAAGTAAACAAATTGAACGTTTTACTCGCAATTCTCTTGTGGATCGGGCTCTGGATCTTGATCATCTTGATCTAAAATGGTTAATTAAAAGAGTGAGCTACACTAGCCGAGTAAGAATATCACGCTACTCATCAACACAGAAATGAAGGTTGATAGAAATAATAAAACAACTAATGGAGTTTTAATTTAAGTAAAATTTATTTATCATAAATAAAATTATTTTCACATACTTACCATAGCGAGATTTTCAAAACCAACCTATAAAGTCAAAAACATAACAATATCATAATTTCATATTCAATCAGTCGGAATAACAACTTTCTCATTTATCAGCCTATTGATATCCATGAGGTTCATAGGGATGTTCCTATTACGCGTGAACTCTTTTTTAACATTTTTAACTAACGTCCCTATACCTCGTCTGGTATGAGCGCTAAGAAATACCATCCTTTAATACCCCGTTCAGTATGAGGGTGAAACAGACAGTCCCTATACCCTGTCTGGTATAAGTGCCAAATTATCAATCCTCGATATCCCGTCCGGTATGAGGCAACGTTTACAGTAGGATTTTCTATGTACCTAGTCCGTCCACCATCTTCTAGAATATCCAGTAAAGCTACTATTCATCCTTTCACTTAATCAAACAATCTCTCGTTTACCTTTAACTTTTAATTTTTTAATTTTAACTGTAAATCATGTAAAACATGCAATACATGCATCAAGAAAACACAATTAAGTTATCATACCAATTCTAGTTTATTATCATGCATTCAAACAGTAAAATCAATCAATCAGTTAAACATAGCAAGCAGTAATAAATAATCAATTCTGCCTCTATTAATAATTAATTATGGATATTTTCTAATTTGTAGAAAAGATCACTTTATTTATAATTAAACTTCAATTCCATAACAAAAAATAGGGTGATGGATTCTTACTCAAATTGATGTCCGAAATGCTAAACTTTCAGCTGCGCCTACTGGAGGTCCCCGGATTTCCTGAATTCTCTTTTGGGAATTAAAACACACTTCAAGTATCTAAAAATACTCCAAAAAAATCCAAAATCAGTGTTAGAAGCCCTTTTTTGCCAATTCTGAAATTCCGGCACAGCTGTTCTGCCGTGCTCTGACGACGCCACCTTAGCTCGCCGTGGTGGTTTGCCTCGGCTTGACCGTTTTCAGCATATTTTGGCCGGTTTTGTACCCATCCCTGCGAGAAAACACGTTAAGAGGCATCGGTTGAACGAAAAAAGTCGAAAAATTAAAGCTTACCAGCAGTAGAGTTTTCTGGTGCGGCGGCTCTGCCGACTCACCTTCACAGTTGAGTGTTTTGCTTTGGTCAACCTGCAGAGAAAGGAATGATGATTACAATGGTGAAAAAAGTACACGAAACAGGAATCGGGAAGCAGCTCATCAGAGGCGATTTTTTCTTTTTCTCGCGATAGCGCTGCCGGGCTTTGTCCACAATTTTTGGCTCATCCACCGGTCCTTTTGTTTCGATTTGGCCATGATAGTGTTCAAAATTGAATTTCGAGCGAATGAGGAAAATTTTACCTCTTTTGGCTGTCAGAAGTGGCTCCGGCACGGCGGCAGGCGGCGACCGATTCCTTTCCTGGTGACTGGCTCTTCTTCTCTAGCGGTGGGTCTGGGAGCTAAGGTTAGGATTTGGTGTGAAAAGGGTTATTTATATCCGTCTCCTTTTACTCTGAGCCGTCTATCGCATTTGATCTGAACTGTCCGATCGCATTTAAATAGGAAGTGAATATGAACCGTTCATCGCAATTTGATCTGGACCGTCTGATTGCGTTTAAATAAGAAGTGGATCTAGACCGTTCATCGTGATTTGATTTGAACTATTCGATCGAGTTTAAATGAGGAATGGATCCGGACCGTCCATGCGCACAGAAACAAATTCAGGCCATTCGATCGCGGGCGCGTGGGTCACCTGCATGGCACCGTGTCAGCTTGCTTTGCCATGCGGCCCGTTCCGGTTCGTTGGGACTGCTAATTGGGCATCCTACGTGATACAATTTTTCTAAATTGCATGTCATACAGTTTTTGATTTTTCTTTCAAAAACACATCCAAAACCCAAAATTTCACCCATTTTTTTTAAAATTATTTTCAATTTCATCATTCACCTATTTTTCTTCTTTTTTACATTAAATAAAAATTCAAAAATTTCAAAATTTAAAAATTATATTTATACATTAATTTTAAATATATTAAAATTAATTAAGGGTATTATAATTCTTCCCCCCTTAAAAGAAATTTGGTCCCTTAAATTTGTCTCCCTCCCATTCAATCAAACAGTTGAGATACTGGCCTCTGAAGTCTACTTCTAGCTCCCATGTGGCCCTTCTTTGTGTCTGATTCTGCCATAGGGCCTTAACAAAGGAAATTTTTCGGTTGTGAAGTACTCTACTCTTTCGGTCCATAATACCCACCGGTATTTTCTCGTATGATAGAACCTCCTGAAGCAAAAGGGGCTTGTGGGCCAGGACGTGAAAGAGGTCCGGATTGTACTTGCGTAGCATGCACACATGGAACACATTATGGACTCTGAATAGTTCTAGAGGTAGTGCCAGTCTGTAGGCGGTGGTGCCAATTCTGTCTAACATTTTAAATGATCAAATAAACCAAGGATTTAGTTCCCCCCTCTTGCCAAACTTACTAATTCCTTTGAAATGAGTGATCTTAAGGAATATCTTATCACCTTTCTCAAATTTTAAATCCCTCATCCGAGTATCTGCACAACTTTTCTGCCTGCTCTGAACCGTCTGAATGTTCTTTCTAATCTTAACTATTTTGGCTGTAGTCTCCTCTACAAGATCTGAACCGAACAATTTTCTATTACCCACTTCTTTCCAACAGATCGGTGATCTGCATGGACAACTATACGCTTCGTATGGAGCCATGCCAATACTTACTTGGTAGCTGTTATTGTAGGCGAACTCTATTAGGGGTAAATGATTATCCCAATGGCCCTAGAAGTCAAGAACACAAGCTTGGAACATATCCTCTAGTGTGCGGATCGCCCTTTCTGATTGTCCATCGGTCTGAGGGTGGAATGCAGTACTAAGGAACAATTTCGTTCCCATACCTTACTAAAAACTAGACCAGAACCGAGAAGTAAACCTGGGGTCCCTGTCGGACACTATTGTCATTGACACTCCATGTAACTTGACTATCTCCCGGATGTACATTCTTGCTAGCTTGTCCAAAGGATCGGTTATCCTGATGGCTAAGAAGTGGGAAGGGTGAGTCGCTCAATAATTACCCAAATGACATCATGTCCCGAGCGTGCCCTAGACAATCCTATCACGAAATCTATTGTGATATGTTTCCACTTTCACTCCGAAATTGGTAATGGTG